AGTGCGACTCGGGTTGCGGAGCCACCTCTTCACTCGTCGGACGGCAAATGCGTGGAACGCGTCGGGTGACGACAGCCTGCCCCCTTCCGTGATTAGCTCCAGGAGGTCAGATGCCTTCATGGACTAAACACTAAAAGGGAACAATCTAGCTGGAAGTAACGAGGCGCCAGATGGTTGCGCTCCCACAAAATGTCTATTTTTACGACCGGTTGGGCCTCTCTAATTTTATATTAACTCCCGACTTCCGTATGGGAAATCATTATGAGTAAAAAAAATCTCTCTTAACATCTCAACCGAACCTTTCTCATCCTGCAAAAATGTGAAGTTGACAGAAAGACGATTTTCTCTACGAATATCTGAGAGATCAAAGGAAGCAATTCGGGAGACTTAATGAAAATTTTCCTGTCAGCGCGATTGCCTTTATTTCCATCGTTACATGGATTGCAATGTGTGGATTCTCGAAACGGCCTCATGACGAAACAAGAGTTAATTCACTTTTCAAGGAAATTCAAGATCATGCTCGAGTGAACTCTTGGAATGAGGCCTGGTGCCTGGATATCGGCACTTCTCGTTCATATTGGATCGTAGAGCCGTTGATGCCTTTTGCCCTCGGCCTGGGGTACTAAATGGCCTTGAGACAAAATGATTTCGCTTTGGGCCGAAGGATCCTAACCTTGAAGGCTACAAATCCGGTTAGACAAGAGCGAGGACAAGGGGACAGGGTGGATGAAGGGAGGGGAGTGCAAGGAGGATCGATCTCAGCAATCTAGAGAGCGCATGTCTCCTCCTTCTCCCTATCCTCATCTTCCTTCTCTCTCTCTTTCCCTCCCTCTCTCTCTTTTTCTTCTTATCCCCTCGGTTGCCGTCCCGAAACTCCTGAGACTCAGTCAGGTGACTCACTTCGCTTTGGTTATACTCTGCTCTCCCTGTCCCTCACCCCGTGTCGCTTGTGTGTGTGCTCGCCCCGTGAGAGAGACACGGAATCCGTATGGCTCCTCCGCGTGTAAGGTGTAACCAGTCGAGTTCTCCCGTGAGCCGGATGCGTCTTCATTGCATCGAAGTGCGGGTGATCACTGCGTCTATGTAATGGTAGAATGTCCAGAGTCCTATACGTGGTAGTGTGTTGAGGAAAAATACCCCTCGACTTCTGACTCACAGACCGAAGTTTTCTTACATGTATTGGGCATGTATCACAGTATTCGTTATCAAAGACATGATAGCAACTGATAAATAACCAGTAACTATGCGCGTGGACTAGCTCGATGTGCAGAGGGTGATGATTTCTGCATGCAAGTAACACCGTTTCTAAAGAAAGGATCCGAACCATCGACGTAACGTAGTTCTAGTTTCGCGATCGCTGACTTAGCCTAGCAAGGACTCGACATTTCGGTATCGGTGAGTTGATGAACGAGAGCGGGGTGAGAGGAGGCTTCTGTATGCGTCCTAGGGGCAGGACTCAACCGGAAGGAAATCCTTTCTTAATTGCATCACAACACCACGTCGTCTTGCTGAGTAGAGAGGGAGCTTCCGACTTCCCATTTCGGTTTACGGTTTAAGTGCTTTAGGGTTACGTGCACCAGCTGAGGAATTGAATTAGCTTAAAGACGAGATAAGCATGTTTACTAAGACACGTTCAACAATGTGTTTATCTCTGAGATACACCCCCTAAAATCCGATTATTTTCCATGAGCACGTTTATCTTTGGTTTAAACGCATTTAAAGGCAGTATATGTGCACTTTGGAAAGTTAATGATCAGTATTACGGGCAAGCTGCTGCTCCATTGCCCGCACCAAGTCAGGGATGGGGTCCTTAAAAAGGACAAAAACCTTGTTTAGAATTCGTCTTTACGGAACTTTCAAGAGGATCGAGCCGATCTCTGATGGGTTGGTTCAGGATGAAGCCATAAACTTCTATTTCTCTTAAAGTTTCCAACTCCACCGGATGATGAGAGGCAAGGAACTGAGGTCCACTAAGGCTAAACAGGATTCTGAACTACCTCAGAGAATCCGTTTTGGGAGATAAACCTGATATGGAGCGAGTTTATCTTTGAATATTAGTTTAAGAGAGAAATAAACTATTTGCATTTGGGGTATGTCCCAAATCAATTTAACTCAGAGTTCAACTCATTCTTAAACATGCTGTATTTGCCTGGAATTACATCAATTTAGCTCCTAAATCGATGTGGTGCATGTCACCCTCAAACTGTAAACCGAATCTTGTTTTTTTTTTTTCGCGATGTGAAGGGGAAAAAGAAAAAGAAGCTAAGGTGGTTTGCTAGACTCATTTCTCTATCGGCTTTAGCTCCTGAGGTTCTAATATTCATCGGCATGTGCTTCTGTGGTTTTCCTGAGAAGGGGAAACGCTGTGGATCCGTGACAGAATGGATTGGGAACGTTCGAAAGGAAAAGCTGGATCCTGGCAGGGGTGAATGTTTCATTACTGCTGGAAAAGCAGTTGTTGAAAGGAGCCATTTCTGGGGGGCAGGACGTTCCAGGTGAAGCAATTCCTATCGCCACATTAGTCATTATGAAAACTTACTCTTGCCAGAAATGCGCTGAGAGGTTCGCTGACTCTCGCTCATCCTCAGAGAATCTCTGCCTATTGACGAAAAAAGTATTTTCGGGTTCGGAAGAGATTGTTTTTGCAGCTTTTCAGAGACGGGTAAGATCTATCTATGCCTGACATTATCTATGTCATTGCAACCGCCAGACTTCCTCTGCGGGATTTTCATTGAGCCGAATGGGAGTCATGAGATGGAAAGCTTTCATCAAGTCACTCTGAGCCTTTTTTTATTTGACAATGGCGAAGGAAGTTTTCGCATGTGAAAAAGAATCAAAGCAATGTGCAACAACATGTAAAAAAAAAAAACATAAGTAATTTAGAGATAGTGGGTTTTGACATTTATGTACCTGTACGTGAACTATTAAAGTGAAACGGTTATTCCGGGATGATGACCTGCCGACGTGTAAAGTGTAAATATGTAAAGAATATAGGACCTCGACTGGCACTAGGAGCAGACAGGTATGCTCAAAAAGAACATAAAAGGAATGATGTCAAGTTTTAGGATGCTGTAAATGGACATAAAATGTACAGCAAATCGACGCCATGCAAAGACCTTCGGCTTTTCAGAAATAACCGTCAGATTTAATATTCTCCGCAGTGCTCATACCCAAAAGTGCTTTGAATCTTTTGTGGCTAAAGATACGGGTCGCCTTCCAGGATGTTTCATGTTATTAACATTCAGCCGAAAGTTTCTTCGGAAAGGCACACATTCCTAGGGACTACCGGAAGATTTACGCAAGCCGGGAAAGCGTTGAAGTCTATGCTCCTAGTCTGAGACGGGAAGGCAAGCCCTTGCAGGCTATCGAGAGCCGATGATCGTGTCGTGACCTCCCCCCCTCGGAGCACCTTCGTCGCGTGGCCCCTGCACGTATGCAGTGCAGATGCCTCGGTGCCTTCGCCGGGCCGGTAGCCATGGGAACGCGGATGGCTCAGCGTCTTTCTTTTCTCCTTTTTTGCCGCAGCTGTTTCGTCTCCTGATCTGATTAGAGAACGTTTCATATACACTCCTTGGAATGAAAAAAAAGGAAAAACATTTTGAAAGCCCACAGAGATTTAGAGCTAGAGATATTAGATCTAAGGATGAGGAGAAACGGAAGCTTCATTCTTAGTCAAGCTTATTCTTTTCTTTAGCTCATAGGCGTGAATGGGAAAGCGTTTCCTTGGACTTTCATCATCGAGCACTTTTTTTTTCTTAAGTGCTTGTCCTGGCAGGAAAAAGCTTTGAAAAGCAGTTCGAAATTTCGGCTCAGAAAGTAAACGCCATCTTCTCTTATCGAAATACGATTTCAAGTTTCAGAGTATGCAAATCATTCATTAGTGTCTCTTGAAAAGCGTGAAAGACATTCATGATTTCGTTTCAACGACATGCAGTAGTATGAAAGATGCACTCGAAGTGCATCTTTTATACTACTGCATGTCGTTGTTAAACTACTATGCAAAAATGTCAACCGCAGCGCGTTCGATGCACATGCGTGCATTCTATCCACCCGTATAGCCTCAATGAAGGAATAATCACGATCTGAGTGAAAGTCAATCCATGCTTATCCACCCTTACAATCGAATATTAACAGATGAATTTGACCAGTCGCTGCAGAAGCCTTCCCTGCATCCGCACTTTTCAACGAAAAAACGCATGGACCTCCATCGTAAGCGACCGTGGAGTGTGGAAGTCTTTGCATGCCTTCGGTATATCCCCAGCCGAAATAGAAGAAAACCCGTGAGAGAAGTAGACGTTGCGTTCCTTGCTTCGTTCCTCGTTCGATAGCAACTGTCAACCCCGTCTGTAGAAAACTGCGGAGGTGAATAGGTTGTCGTATTTCTTGGTCATATTTATTTTCCCTTCCGTTTCAGAGAGATTCCGGCTTCAGCCTATTTGGAAATTAGCTCGGAAGTTGAAGGGTCATAGACATCTCCGCCACTTCGTAAGCCCAAGCAGGTACTCTGACGCCTGATTTTTAGTGTTCGCTTTGCCGTTTAGTCTTCCGTAGGAGAATATAATGGACGTGGTACTTTGAAAAATAGTTATTCATCCTGTTGTAGAACATATCTTAGTTCCCAGAATTTTGTTTTTAGCCAGTTGCATGTTAATGTTATGCGAAGCACACGCTTCATATAAAAAAAATACGATCGGAAAATAGTAACGAAATGTACACCGATGAAGAAATAGCATCCGGATCACATGCCCATTACCTCATTAGTTAAGGCCCGGGACTGGACGTTATCCCTCCCCGTAATTTAAGCAAAATAAGTGTACGAGACACGCCTCCTCTCAGGACATCTTGTCCCTAGGATGAGATCCACCCTAGGATGGAACTGTGACACGCCCCGAAACGTGCGAATACGTTGCACGGCACAGAACATTCCGTGCCTCCAACGACGCTAGAAGGCTTTAGTTCCCTGAAGGACTTCCCGGCCAGAAGCCGTAAGCCGCAGAGCGATGAGTCGGCGTCGATGCAGCTTGGGAGATGGACGATAACCCACGTCAAGGCCGAATGAGCGTAGGCAGCATCGGGAGTCTGTTCGGGACCAGGAAGACCCGGCTCCGGCCGCCGTCCGTCATCGTCACCGCGGACGAGGACGAGAACATCGGGGACTTGAACGTGGTGGCCGGATTCGGGAGAATCGGCCGAAAGAACGGGAACATCCCGGGAATCGGGCAGGAGGGCGTGAACAATGAAGCCACGACGTCCGGCGTCGGCACCGAGACCATGCAAGCTTCCGATCTTCGTGTTCTTCCCAGGAAACAAGAAGGTAAGGGAAAAGAACGGCCGAGAGAGAAGAAAGGAAAATCGAGAGAAAATGTTTTTCCCCCAGAACTAATCCCCTCCAGCACCGGTTCCTTTTTCCATGTAAATGAAGTTCTTTCATCGCGCCGTACGACGCCTCGAACAAGCCTCTACGGGATAGAGGGCTGGTTCATTTAAACCGGCTCCAACTCTCCACCATTTCCATCACGGAGAGTTGGAATCGAGAAATTGAAAAGCGCCCACACGCTGAATGGATGTCTTTGTCGTGCAGGCATGATGATTCTGGACAATTCGGGAGCCCCGTCGGGTCGAAAAAAGCACGGCCCCTTCCGACGAGTGCTGACGTTCTTCAGCCGCCTCTTCGTGGGACTCGCGGTGACGGCGTGCGTGGCAGCGGCCTGGGTCGGCGCGACCCACGCCATCAAGTTCGCTTATCGGAGGGACGAGATCCCCTGGCCTCCGTGGGATCAGACGCCTCTCAACGCCTCCGAGCCGCCTCCATTGGTTTGTTCTTTATTTCAGGCTCGGCGGATCGTCGTGGAGGGTTTGCGGGAACGAGAGCGGGAGCGTGAGGACGTTGTCGACCTCACGTGTACGAGCGAGGGAGTAGACGTTAAGCCCCCTCCGCTTTCGTTCCCGTTCCCGTTCCCGTCCCTGTCCCGATCCCGTGGACTTTCTAATGATAAGGTCTGACTAGGGGGTATCTGTCCTCTGTTGCTTTCCAGGCCGAAGTATACGGAGCGCCGTTCTTGACCACATGGTGCTGCACTCTATGGACGGCCCTGTTTCTCCCTCTCTTTCTATTGATTCAAATAGTCTTGATTCGGGATGTTGCCACGGTTCGCTCCCTGTTCAAAGAAGCCACTCAACAGCTGAAAGGACGGGTCGTCACGCCGTGTAGGCATTCCTAAAAGAAAATGAAAAACACATGGATCCTCGCTGCCGATTTAGACCGTATGCGTTTCCCGTTCGTTGCAGTCAAGTTTTCCTTGCGGATCATGTTCTTCTGCGTCCTGTGGGTGGGAACGAATTACCTGTACATGTTGAGCCTTCGAGTCTTGGACGCGACGGACGTGATGGCCCTGTATGCAACGAGCGTGGGCTTCGTCTATCTTCTCTCTTGGGTCGTACTTCACGATCAGTTCGTCGGGGTTCGGGTGAGTCCCTCATTAATAACGTCATTACGGGGAAATGAGGGGCAAATGAGCAGAGTCTTAGCTTTTATCCTCTCTTCCTTCCGTGCTCGTGTAGTCATCGATCCGAGCAGGGCCACAAAATCGGTTCGGCCTATATATATATATATACCGACCCGAGCTGTCTCGTCTCTGTATACACTGCGACGGCCGAGCCATATATCACGAATGAATTTCTTACCGTAGTCAGAACCATTTGTCTCGAGACGGAGGTACCTAGAAAAAAAAAAGCAATTCGCGATATTCGTGTGCTTACGGTGGGTTTCGGGTGGAATTTCTGGGTTGACCGGACGATTCCGTGTCGTAGATCGTGGCGGTGATTCTATGCAACACGGGAATCGCACTGTTGGCATACATGGACGGGGTGTCTCGGACCCCGACCCTCGGGGGAGTGGTCCTCGGAGCGGCTGCCTCCGCCGGTTCTGCCGTCTATAAGGTATGCGGCGCCTGTGTTTTTTTTCGTCCCCGTTTGCTTTTCTCGGTGATGCACCATGTTTTTCCTGCTTTCCGCTTCTTTCAAAATGATTCACACGCGTTGCACGATGTTTCGTACACCCTTTACCTCCCCATGGATCTGGGGGACGGTATCGACTGGCGAGAGCAGGTAGGGTCAAGGGCACGAAACATCACGAAACGAATGCGAATCGTTTTAAGGAGAGACATTTTGTCGTTGGTGCATGGCAACGTGCAAGACTTACGACGCTCGCTGAAACTCACTGTACCTTCGGGAAGACGTCATTCGCCCCATTTCTCACTCAAACTTGACGCTGGTGTTCGCAAGGTGATATTCCGGAAGCTGATGGGGGAAGCGAGCCTGACGACGGTGGCCATGTTCTTCTCGTTGATCAGCCTCGTGAATTCCCTTCTCCTCTGGCCCCTTCCGCTCGGTCTTTATCTGACAGGCGTCGAGAAGTTCTCCTTCTCCGATCTTCCCTGGCTGCCGCTGCTGATCGCCGGAGGCCTCTCACTCGGTATGGTCGAGGGTCGAGCGCTCTCCCGTTCCCGTCTCGCTTGCTCTCTGTCGGATCGTCGTGATTCTCCTCCTTCCCGCAGTGGCGAACATCCTGGGGAACTTGGGGATTCTGCTCACCTACGACATCTTCATCACGATGGGTCTCGTCGTTGCCGTCCCCTTGTCTGCCGGTACGACTCTCCGTCATTTCCATGTCTGGGCCTCCTCCTTCCCGTATCGATCTCGACGGAGCCTCCACCTCAAACGGAAATTCCTTTAGGACGACATTTGCGATTCAACCCTTTGATTTGCTTTTTTTCTGCCCGCTCTTTTTGGTTTTGTTTCGTTCAGAATTTTCTAAGAAAACTCTCAACTCAATATTCGTTGCCATGGTGATAACAAATACTATTACGCTTAGGTGCCGTATCGGCTGCCGTAGTCTCCTAGTTGTGACCATGTCTGGGTGGTTTCCAGGCCTCAGCGCACGTGTATTATGAATCGATGTCTGGCTTGTCTTCTTTAGCATTGATTCATCAAAGACTCAAAGGGAGTAATCAAGGAGCGGAGCAAAAAGTGATTTTTCAAAGTCCTTTGTGCCGTATGATTTGTGAGCAATCTACAACTTGAAATCATATGAAAATTCTAGGGAACCGATCAAAGATTTAAATCCGACTTATTCTGGGCTGCTTGATCGATTAATCGGATTTTAACCGACTCAATATACTCCCTCTGAATCTGGCGGAGGAGAAGCATGAAATCGTAAAGAAGCTACAGGAAATCTTGTCGTCTGGCGCACTGTTATCAGTGAGCCATCATGTCATCATTAATGTAGGGGCATGAGGAGAAAATTGTACCTCCAGGTATATTAATCGAATCTGTCCAATCTATCTTCGGTTTTAATCCATATTTGTTGCATAACTTAGGTTGGAGAGATTAGTAAGCTACTTGCATTCGATTAATTACGTCCATTAATCGCGATTAAGTTTTAGCTGCGATTAAACATTTAATAGATTGATTCAATTGAATTGGCAGCTCTAGGAAGTACTGTTGAAATGAGGAAGTTTATAATAACTTCAGTGTAAAAAAAAGCAAGCCTGGGAAAGGGCTTTCTTCTTTCTTTTGCAGTTCTCGATCACGTCTGGTACGACGTAGAATTCGCAGGAATGAAACTAGCCGGTATCGTTCTGATCGTGAGCGGATTCCTTCTCGTTCTGCTGCCCGAGAATTGGACGGATTACTTCGCCCTTCTCCTCAGGTATGGCCTGGATTCTATTAAGTCCGAAAGCAGAGTCCGAACAAGCACTCCACACGACCCAAGCACGAAACACACATGGAAGGTAAACGCACCCTCACCACGTTCGCCGAAGCCACCGAGACGAGACTGGGATGCATGAGTTTGAGGGAAAAGAATGGATAATTTTTTTTTCTTTTAGTAGAAATTTGACTTTTGAACTGGTGTCGAGCTAGGGGCCGAACATTCATGCCAGATCGAGGATCTGGCGTGATGAGAGGCTGGTCTGGTAGTTCGGTGTCTCATATCATATGTACTGTACCCGTATGAATGCTGAACAAGGACAGCCATTAACCATAAGAATTTAATTCTCGAGGCAAAGAGAGCGACGGATTGCAGCTGTTGTCTCTGCATGTTCACTGTACTGTACGTCAGTGTTCATAATCATGGATGTTGCTCTCACAATATGAGACCCTTACAAGCCATTCGGCTAAGAGACTTCACTCTCTGCACCGGGCTCAGCCCGTGTTGACGTCACGACGAGCACTGTCACTTATCGCTGGTTCCTCCACTTTGGTGAAGTTCTGGACCGGATATCCCTCGGGGAATTCCGGTCTGAGGCAGGAAAAAAAGAGAGTCGTCGGTGGAATAAGATGGATTCCCTTTATTTTACTTCTAAGAGTCCCACGAGAAGTAAGAGTGCTTCTATCGATTTGCGTCGACATGGACTCAGCCCGGGGATAAAAACCTCATTTAGTTCATCGGACCATGATGGAAGGAAACATGACAGGAAAGGGAATCGTTCTTTTCACTTTCCTTGCATGCCCTCGTCACGAGGAGAGTGAAGGGAAACAAATACCTTCGACCGACACCTTTGTTTTGGAGGGTAAAAGTAGGGAGTGATGAGTAGGAATTATCCAGAGTGCCAGAGTGAGATGGAAGCCTCTTCATGTTGTATTTTAGAACGCGGGATGGTCGCCGCCTGGACCCTTCGTCCCTCCTTATTTCCATAGAGTGATCCTATAAACACAGTCACAGGAGGTAAATGCTTCTGAATCCCGGTCATTATGGATCATGAACTCTCTCTTTCTTTTCTTCCTCACCGATTGCTCATTACTCGTCCCCCTCATCCCCTCACGTTATCTTGGTTTCTTTTTTCCGGTTTGACGGTTTTCTTTAAAATACTTTTTCCCCCGTACCTTCGTTCCTTGCTTGGAAGTCCCGTTTCGTCGAGTGTCCCGCTTTATACATATCCATATACATATATACATTAGAATCCCATAATGATGTTCATCCAGGTGACCCGGTTTGCACGCATGTCACGCTTTCCCATATTGAACGACCTGGTGAAGAAAAGGAAAAGTGTGCATGGAACCCGTAGCCATCTCCTCTCACACGACCCATTCCGAGGTCCTCCTTCGTTCCTCCTGTCTAAATGCCGGCTGAGACGAAACTGCTTTCCATAAGTGCGCGAACAGACACAACGCACAAATCCTGTTTACGGGGAGCTTTCCGGCTTGGGGAACGGGGCCATTAAAAGCAGTATGTAAACATGTCAGTGTGACATCTAACAGAATGTAAGCCGAGGTCAGTACTACCTTGCATAAACTTCAGACCGGCACTCGCCAATCAATGCAAAAATTTGCAACTAAAGAGAGAAAGAGCAGCAAACCCCCTCGCATCGAGATTTTCCCCGAGTTACAGTCTGTGATTGAGCACTTCGTCGACTTGCATGTATTTGCCTGGGCATGCTTCCTCATGCATGTCTTCCGTCCGTGTCCCTCATAAAAAACTCAATCGATAAAAGAAAATAGCATTAGAAGCATGCTTTCCTAACATGTGCCGTCTCCATCGTTTGGCTGTCGGGGATGCAAATTTTATACAATTGAATATTCCCATGCCGAAAGAGAGGGGAATTCTTTTCCCTCTCGAGTGATGGTTTTGGTTTTTTTTCCTCTCCCGTCCTAGCCTGGGTCGTACTAAGAAGACTCATCACCAATCGAGGCGACACAGCCCGGATATTCTATCCAGCGGTCATTTCCATATCTCCAGGCTGAGGACTCCTTCTGGGAAAGTCAAATGAAACCCTTCGATTTCCTGTCATGCGTCTCTCCCAATTGCATTGATTATTATTAGTATAATTATTTGTCTGTAACTAGTCCACATCGAATGACCGCACATAGTCTTCCTAGGGGAAATTCATCTTCCTCTTTTTCGGGCAGCCGAAGAGAACCCATCTCCATCGTCGTGTTCCTTTCCTTTTTTATGAATCATCTCATCATGGATGTTGCTCAAAATGTGTCCCTTCGATGTATCAAAAAGTCGATGTCTTCTCATTATGAATGTTTGTCCCGCTCTATTCTTGTACTCCTGTGTCAAATATGCAGCAAAAAAAGTCACGTCAGTTGGAATTGCGGGCAATTCTACGTCTCGAAAACTGCTCCGTAACTTCACTTAGGTTCATCTCTTATTCACCTATGTGTTGTTTTTTGCACTTTACTATCTTGCGGACACATTCCACAGTGGGAAGGGCCCCAGAAGTAGGTTTGAATTCGGATGGTGGTGGCCTATAATGACATCCCGCACCCTCTATACGCTTAGGTGTTGTTTTATGGGACTGAATTGTATTCTTTGTGTCGAATTCAACTGATGGTGTTCGCGACGTCATTACTTTTGAATCTTTTCCTTTCCTTACTTTGTTCTTGAAAATGCAAACCATCTTATTTTTTCTATAAATGATGCTTTTTCTTTCACTATTCGACACATCCCATCAAGGAACCATTCGAAACAAAAAGAAGTTCATTCACTGAAACCCAGGGTATTCGGATCCAGCCAGCTCCTCGCTAATTAAGGTGTCTGGGGGATGAGAAAGTGGAGAATGTTAAATGCGGCTGACAGTGAAGCAGAGGCAGCCTTAGCATCCATGGGAGATGGGGATGGTAAATTGAAACCGTATTTCCCTAGGGGAGGAATCCAAATCACCAGACTAGTGCCATGCTCCGCTGGATTCTCCCTTCCTCTGATGATTTATCAACCGGTCGGGAGGGAACCTCGCTTTTACCTGGCTTGTCACTGGACAGGTTAATTATTTTTCATCTTTTTCGACCCGTAGATCGAGTAAACACGCAGCGAATCATGCCGTTCAAACATACATCCTTCGATCGATTAAGGCAGCTCGACTCCAAAAAGACAACCCTGACAGGGGGAGCCCCATTTTTCATGGAGACAGACTCCTTACGCCAGGCACTCGAGCGGAGTGTGCTCTTTGTTCTGGAAAAACGGGGAATGGAAAAATTTCCTCCCTCCTCGTATTATTCAGACTCGAGTTCCTGTGATTTCCATCTGGTTCCAGTCGTGAATAACGAGTGCCCTGGAAAACTCTCTGACCGGTCAGATAAGGTGAACATAGACCCATGGCTTTTAAGAACTTCCGGAATAATCGACTCTTTGAGTTATTGAAAGAGATCGCTAATTGCTGAGTCAAGTGTATCCAATTTGAGGGAGATTATCTCAAGCAATGAAGCAACTCTGCGATCAAAATTAGTTTTTCCTTTTTATGGTCAATGTGGTGAGTGGCATCATTCTGATCACCCCTCTTGGGTGAATATACTGATTTCTGGTTAGAGGGAAGTTTAATTGTTCGCTGTTCCAAATTCAGAGGTCGAATAACGATATGATAAGGTCTAGAGAACCCCAGGTCTTCTGCCCATGGAAAGATACACTTCGGTGTTCGGGTAAGGATGTACGAGCCTAAGCCTAGCCCAGAGTCTCACGATATCGGGATTTTATTGTGGCTTTTGTATTGGTGGAAGACAGAGCCTGGCACTTACGGGGGGATCCCGGCGGGCCGATAAAAGTAGATGACTTGATTGTTCATCGTCCTGGCAGGCAGTTCTCTCAATGCAACGACGATCGTCTTGCCCATCTGGAGAATTCCGCTCATGCAGCTTTCAGCGTCTGGAGTTGAGCCAAAATTAAACGAAACTTGTTCCATCGCTCTCTCTCTATCTCTCTCTCTCGCTCTCTCTCTCCCTGCATCCATGATACAAGTACTCACAGAAGTTTTAGAGTTCTCGTCTATGACAGTGGCGTCATTTTGAATTAGTTCGAGTACTTTCCTTACTTCGGAAAAGTATGATTTCTCCCTAGGCATGTTCGGAGGAGTCGATGGCCTGAAAATAAAACAACAAATGAGTAATGAAAGGACCTCAACATGCTGGAGAGATTAACGGGAAGTATTTGAGCAGTTTATAATGTGCGAAATGTTAATTTGTAGGTTACATTTTGGCTTTTTTTTCCAGCAATTGGGATTACCTTTGCAATCCATTCGGTGTCTTCACTTTCTTTTCCCTTTGACTTGAGGAAACGGGAATATTTCGTATCGCGGGAACCTGACAAGAGACTGACTCACTCCTGACAAGAGTGGCTGAGTGACGGCATGCTCGTCCTCATTTCACCAAAACCTCTCATTAAGCTGTGTTGAGGAACCCTTGCATGATTTAGCTTTATTATTAGAGCTGCTCATCTATAAGAATTTTAAATGCAATCAATCGGAGGCTCGATTGGGTCGATTTATCGATCGATATCGAGTTTTGATGTGCTCGTCGTTCCCTTGCATGGCGCAGGAAACACGAACAGAGCGGCATTTCATCATCAGTGCTATTTGAATAGCGTCTTTTCACTATTTGCCATTCAATCGCTCCTGTTTCAGTGTGTTTGAAACGAAATTCGATTATAGATTTAGAGCAGAGGTCGGATGAGTACGAACGCGTCAAAACTACACCCTTTCAACTATGACAATATTGATCATAGCCACATTATTCACGATGCAATTATTGAACAGTGATAGTGTAGACAATGCATTATTGCTAATAATCAATAGTCTTTTCCCTGTGGAGGTATTTCCCATTTGACGCTTTCCTGTGACAACCTAGTTCCTTGTCGACTTAATTCTGTGTCTGACGGCCTTCCAAGTCGACATCATCCGATGCTTACGGATTTCCTAATCGGCTCAGTCGACATGTCAGCGCTTTTGCATCAATATTCGTTTGTGGACGCACTCCCTGGTCGACCTGGCTCATGTCGGCTCGATTGAGCGTCCCCAGTCAATTTATTTTTTTATACTCCATTTCCTTGCAAGTCGATGACATTCTGCCGCCCCAAAAACTTTCCACGAAATTCCACGATCAGTCGCTGTCGTGTCTGAAATCCCCCCACAAAAAAAATCTATAGGAAT